TGAGTAACAGAGGACCCTGCTTCTTTCTTTCTTTCTTTCTTTCTTTCTTTCTTTCTTTCTTTCTTTCTTTCTTTCAGGTGACTGGCCTGCATGGTGCAGGGCCTTCCATGCTAGACCTGGCTCCCAATGCATTTGATGATCAATATGTGGGCTGTGTCGAAGAAATGGAGGAAAGGGCCCCCCAGCTGTTACAAGAAGACTTCAACAAGAATGAGGGCTTAAAACTTGAGTGGGAAATAGCAGAGAAACAATGGGAGATTATAAAAAATAGTATGATCTATCCTGAAGGTTTCCGTGATATCCATGGAACAGCTCTTTTAGCCTACACTGGGAACCTTGCTATAGATTTTAACAGAGCTGTTAGAGAATTCAAGAAAAATCCGGGTAGCTTCCACTACAAGGGCTTCCATTACTACTTAACAAGAGCTGTCCAGCTTTTGGGTAACCAAGGTTGCCGTTCAGTTTTCCGAGGCTCTAAGACCATGTTTCATTACACTGGGAAGGGCTCTGTGCGATTCGGGCAGTTCAGTTCTTCATCTTTATCTAAGAGTGTAGCTCTTTCTCCATCATTTTTCAATGTTCATGGGACACTGTTTATCATCAAAACCTGCTTGGGGGTTAATATCAAAGAATTCTCCTCATTCCCTCGCGAAGAGGAGGTGTTAATTCCAGGCTATGAAGTATATGACAAAGTCACAACACAACATGAAAAAGGGTATAACCAAATTTTTCTGGACTCCCCACAAAGGAAGAAGAGCAACTTCAATTGCTTCTATACTAGTCCTGCTGAAATAGGCAATATTCATTTCATCATCTCAGGTGAGTCTGTGTCTGTGTTAAAGATGGATCTGGTGAGGGACCTCATGAAATGAGGGGGTGTTCCCTTCCAGAAGCAGTATGTGAGACAATGCACATGGAGGATGCCTGGCATGCTGGAGGGTAGCATTGATAAAGCCAAGAGCATGTACCTCAGTGATGGCACATCAGAAATGACTGAAACAGTGAGCAACGTCATGAAAAAAGCTATGACCAGTCAGAGTAGCCCTGACACCCTGAAGGGTTTCTGGAAACATGAGAAGACTTTAGAAGCAGAAGTGGAACTTCAGAAAGAGATCTCTGGGATCTCATACACTTGCATAGGGAAATTTTGAATTTGGATGAATCCCAGGGAAACCATGACACCTACCCAGGTACGGAGTCCACCAAGAAAGATGCTGCCCTTTTGGGCCATATGGTCCCTGTCCAATCCAGGCAGGTTGAGAGCCACAGGTAAGCTCCAGGTCACATCAGCTAGTATAGAATACATGTTGCTTTAACAATAGACTTTCAGAAGTTTCACACCCAGAATCCTCTTCTTAGATCAAGAAGGCAAAGCCTGTAGTAC